TCCACTTACTAAATACAGCTAAATTCGACAACATGTTTGTCTGTGAAACATGGCTCAACACATCTCTCCCTGACTCCATTACCACAGTAACAGACTATCATGTTTACCGATCAGATCATGAAATTTGTAGAGGTAGTGGTGTTGCTACCTTCTATAAAAAGTTATTACATCTAAAAAACATCCAAGTTACCAGGAGCTTGCTCTTCTTGAGACCATCATCTGTGAACTGTCCTTAAATATCACATTTCGATTCTTACTATGTTACAGAGCACCTGATTATGACATCGAAAATGTAAACAAGCTAAATTCACTACTAACATGGGCAACATCCTGCCCACATGCTTTTATCTTTCTTGGTGACTTCAATCTACCTCATATTAACTGGACCCTAAACAAATGTACAACTGAACCCATACATGCAACCTTCTACAATTCTGTTACAAATCTGGGACTGGAACAACTAGTAACCAACAATACTAGACTGAACAACTGCCTCAATCTCATCTTCTGCAATAGTTTGAATTTAATTTATGGAATACAAACTAAAGGACCCTTTTCCAACAGTGACCACAATATGATTGATTTTGTCTCAACATACGCCCACACAAAAATCATCACAATTATGTAATACTCAATTATTACTTCAAAAAAGGCAACTATGATCTTATAGACATCCCTTGATTGTCAATCTATTCACTGGATGCAATACTGTTGAAGACTATTACAACACATTTTTACTTGAAGTCAAAAGAGTCATCAAACTATATGTACCAATAACAACTCCCAAAACAAAACAAAAAAACACATTATCCATAACAATAAGGAAACTCCAATTCAAAAAGAGATCACTCTGGCAGAAAAACAAATCTGATCATGTTGCCAACTTCAAAAGCCGATACAAAAATGTATGCCACCAGATAATGCACCAATTATCACATTAAACAAGAGGAAAACCACCTATGCACCAATTCCACCCAGCTTTTCACAATTTTGTAAACAACAAACTAAAAGACTCAAGGTCAATTCCACCCCTGATAGGACCTAATGGTAAAGACTGCAATGACAACACCATTAAAGCCAACATCTTTAACTCATTCTTTGGCTCAGTATTTGTAAACAGCAATGGATCATGCCCAGTATTTCCTAGTTGAACCACAGAAAACTACAATGATCTAATACATATAGATTTTACACAAGACAATGTTGAAAAAGCACTACGCAATCTAAAACCATCTCTATCTATTGGAGCGGATAGAATATGTGCCTACTTCTTAAAAAAGCTATCCACCACCATAGCAGAACCTCTAAGCATAATCTTTGAAAAATCTTTCAGGACCAACTCTTTGACAAACCTATGGTCACAAGCCACGGTCATGCCCATCTTCAAAAAGGGAGACCCCAGCCTAGTTGAAAATTAAAGACCAATCTCCTTATGCTGCATCACCTGTAAAGTCATGGAATCAATTATTAACCAATCCATTATCCTCCACTTAGAGACAAACAACCTACTTTCTAATAAACAATTTGGTTTCAGAAAAAAACTATCCTGTAACCTGCAACTCTTGCACTGCAAAAACATATGGACTACAGACCTCTATCAGGGCAAAGCAATAGACACAATCTACATAAACTTCTGTAAAGCCTTTGATTCAGTGGTACACGAAAAACTACTTCTAAAACTAAAATCTTACGGTATCTCTGGACAACTGTATAACTGGAAAGAAGCATTCCTGTCAAACAGACAACAAATGGTCAAAATTGGGAGTGTCCTATCAAATTCTGTACCTGTCAATAGTGGTGTCCCCCAAGGCAGTGTTCTAGGACCAACTCTCTTCATACCCTACATAAATGACCTCTGTGATCATATTAAGAGCAACTGCATTCTCTTTGCTGATGATGTAAAGCTGTTCAATGCCACAGACAATACTGCTACCCTTCAAAAAGATCTTGACTATGTATCAGAATGGTCAAACAAATGGCAACTTCAAATCTCAACAAATAAATGCTCTGTCCTACATATTGGCAAATAAAATCAGAAAATAAGTTGAATAGTCAAGACCATGTTGATGATCCAAACTCTGTCAAGGATCTTGGAGTACTCATCTCAAATGACCTAAGTGCTAGAGCCCACTGTAACTACATAGCCAAAAAGGCATTAAGAGTTGTTAACCGAACCCTATGTAGCTTTTTCTCTGGTAATATGACACTACTAATTAGAGCATACAAAACATTTGCTAGACCAATACTCAAATACAGTTCATCTGGAACCCACATAACATATCTGTTATTAGCACAGTTGAGAAAGTCCAGAAATATTTCACAAGAAGAGTTCTCCACTCCTCTACTCATTGTAGAATACCTACCAGACTTGAAATTCTAGACCTAGAAAACCTAGAACTACGCCGCCTGATCTAAGTATAGTATATAAAATCATACATTGCAATGTCCTACCTGTCAATGAATACTTCAGCTTCAACTATAACAACACAAGAGGAAACAATAGATGCAAACTCAAGGTAAATCACACCAAACTTGATTGCAGGAAATACGACTTCAGCAACAGAGTGGTCAATGTCTGGAATACTCTACCTGACTGTGGTTTCTTCCCCCAAACCCCAAAAACTTTAACCTTAGACTGTCTACTACTGACCTCACCCCTTTCCTAAAAGGTCTGTAGGGGGTGTGCATAAGCGCACCAACGTGCCTACCATCCCTGTCCTATTGTTTCTTTTATTTTTTTATATGTACCCATTTCATGTATTCACAACTATGTATATACTTATACCTATTATATTTGAAGTGATTGACAAATCAAAATAAATAAAATAAAAATAAATAAAATAAAATAGAAGATCGAGTGGTTGTGGGTCTTTATCCCTGCCCATCGGGTTAGGAGAGTTGACATCTTTGACTCTGGATGAGGTAAACTCACCCAGATGTATCTGGTGCATGGCTCCTGCTGGAAGAGCAGGTGGCGGTCAGGACAGTAAGGGTGGGGCTTGTACAAAATTCATCTTGTGAGGCAATAGCAAGTATTTCTGCCTTGTTCAGAATCATATACCTTAGTTATCTTCTGTTAGATCATTGCAATATTTTCTAATGGGGCTGCCCTTAAAAAATTAGCTGAAAGCTGCAACTGGTCCAGAATGGTGTAGCACATGAAGCTTGCTCTGCAGTTCACCTGAGTTATACGAACTACATTGGATCCCAGTTGCTTTGTGCAGCCTATTCAAAGTGATGGATATCACCTTTAAAGTCCTACATGGCACAGGGTTAGGCTAGTTGTGAGACTACCACTTTTTGAAGGTATCTGCCTGCCCTACTAGATTAGATAGGATGGGAACACTACAGATCCTCTCCCTTAAATATTGTCACTGATGGGACTTTGGAGGCATGCCTTCTTGGTGGCCACTGCAGCCTTAAAATTTGATAGATCCCTACCTTTTTAGCCACCCAGAAGCCTGTGAAAACCAGCATTAAACTAGGCTAGAGTTAACCAGCATTAAACTAGGCTAGAGTTTGTATTGGGAGGTGGTTTCATCTGGTGCTGAACGGAAGGGTATTTTTGTTTTTATCTTTGTTTTTATAGATTGTTATGGAGCTGCCTAGAATCATTATATAATAGGCAGCCATATAAGTTATGCAAATAAATAAGTACTGTTTGTTTGGTTTTTTGAAAAGTGCTACAGAAAGGATTTAATTGGTTCTTTTTTCATCTCTGAGACCCTTTATTTACACTAACTTGACCTCAACAGTTAGCAACCTTTTCCTGAAATGTGTCCATAAGAAAACAAACTTAAAACTCAAACTTAAAACTTAGTTCTGTACACTGTTTAGAACAGTAGTTTTAAGTTACTTTACACATTCTGGCCATTTAAAAGATATGAATTATGTCTGAAAGATATATTTGACTCTTGAGTATTAGTAAAGATGAAAAGTCCTACAAACATGGCAATTAGCATGGTCCATATTAATCATTGTACCTCATTTTCTTTTAAAGGGACAAAGCTAAATATCTTTCATTGGTGGTGTTTCTGAAGTTTAATCCAGTGCTTGTCAATCCAATTATAGATATTATTACTTTCATATCTCTTCTGGATATGTGATTAAATGTCATTTTTATTTACACTGATTTCAAATTGTTTTATTCGAATTGAACAGAAGGCCATCTATGTTTACTGTTGGTTTTATTTATTTGTTTGCTCCTTTAGTTTGTAATATTAATAAGCCGGTTTTCAATGGCTCAAAATGGGAAATAAGACAATATTTTGATAATGGGATGAACTGTTTCAAACAATAAAAAAGTAAGATAAACCAGCATAGAAGATGCATAGAAATCAAGGCATAAGTGATGGTGCAAAGCTTCACAAGGATGTTCATGGGCTTCTCTTTATGTTCGATTCAGTTAAATACAGGTAGTCCTCGACTTACAGCTGTTCATTTAGTGACCATTTGAAGTTACAACAGCACTGAAAAAAGTGACTTATGAACTTTTCACTTATGACCGTTGCAGCATTCCCAGGGTCATATGATGCTCTTTTGTGACTTTTTGACAAGCAAAGTCAATTGGGGAAGCCACTTAACAACTATACTAACTACTAATTTTAACAACTGCAGTGATTCACTTAACAACTGTAGCAAGAAAGGTCATAAAAAGGGGCAAAACTCACTTAACAAATGTCTCACATAGCAACAGAAGGTTTGGGCTCCATTGTGGCCGTAATTCAAGGATTACCTGTACAGAAATCAAATTAATATATCTGCTCTGGATGAATAGAAAATCCCTTCCCTACAAAAAACAAAAATAAAAAAAGATGCTAAACATTAAAATGTAAAATACTGCATTATATTTTTTGGCATGTTCCCCTAAGTATCCAAAAACTGGCAATCAGTACCTAAATAATTTACAACAGATAATATTGAGAAATTGAACTTGCTTTCTCTCCGCCATGGTTTAGAAAAATATGGCTAATTCTGTCTTATATTGAAATTATTTACAGGCTGTTCCCCAACTAGAACTGTTTGGGGATATGTCCACTCCTCCAGATATAACCTCTCCCCCTGTAAGTATTGCTGTTAAAATTGCTGGATTATTTGTTGCATGCCGATGTAAACATTTGTATAATATCAATATACAACACATTTTGATATTCATGAGAAAGACTGAAGACTGGGTTTGACAGGATTCCAAAAGGGTTGTAGACATACTACCCAGTTTGAATTTCTTCCTCTATAACATTGCTAATTATCTTACTTTTAAAACCCTAATTATTTATGCTAATCCCCTGTGAAGTTACTAAAATTACACAGCCTTAGACTTTTATGAAGAAACAGGTGCTGAAAGAATTTGCATATATTTTAGAAGTTGCAAAATAACACTTTCAGATTTTGCCAAGTATCTACAAATTTTATGAGAATTTGGTGGTAATATTTCTCATCCTGTTTCTAGTTATAGGTAGCTTTCCTTGTCACTTGTTAATATTTATCCCCTCTCTCCCACTACTCCCACCCATCATCCACTGTTGGCTTTTCTCGTTCATGCACTAGCTCTTTTAATTAGGGAAAGGATATGGAACTAGTTCTTGGCAATGAAAGCAGCACATGAAATACGACCTGTGACATCTTATCAAGGCATTTTAATTGTTTCTTGTTTTATAGACCCCTGCAACTCCAGGTGATGCCTTTATCCCATCTTCATCCCAGTCACTTCCTGCTGGTACAGAGGTATTTAGTTCTGTACCTTACAGCACTGCTGCTGTACCCTCAGGTAAATATTTTCCATCAAGATATTTAACTAGAAATTTTAAGCTCAATCTGGGACGAAGGGATGTTATTGTGTTACACATCAAAACATTTGAAGCCCTAAACAAGGGGTCCCCAAACTTGGCAACTTTAAGACTTGTGGACTTCAAGAATTTTGGGAGTTGAAGTCCACAAGTCTTAAAGTTGCCAAGTTTGGAGACCTCTGCCCTAGACAGATACTGTATGATTTATAATTTTAGTTATTGGGTACTGATTCATACCTCTTTGCTCACATATCATTATCTGTAACATCTGAGCCATTGCAGACTTAACATCACAGACAGAATGTTTACCTCATCTCAGCCAATTTTTTTTCAATCATTCTTATTTTGAAAATTTGGCGGAACCCTTGAGAATTTGATTTCATAATCAAAGTAGTAAATCACTCTTACTTATTAAAGGACTGTTTGATCTTAAGATTATTTATTTTTCTTTTGAAGCATCAGTAGCGCTAAAGGATGAAAACTATTGTTCAATATTCTTCAGAGACCAAAATGCAAATCTAGTTAATATTGTGCCCCACTTTTGAAACTCAAAAAGGTTTTCTTACTTGTTCTTGCTATTTTTGAATTCTGAAACAGTTGCCACTGACCCACTGCTAGGTCAAGGTATAATTTCACATTTATGCATAAGGTATGCATACCTTAGGCTGTAATAGTTCATCATCTAAAAGCAAAATTCTGAAATTCTGATTTGGATTCTGAGGGGTTTGTAGCCGAGGCTTTGACTCACAAGTGTGGCAGGCAGTAGCATGGCCAAAGATTTTTATGTTGTTCCAATTGAACTCTTCTAGCTTCACAGATGCAGAAGTTGGGTCTAAGGAAGTCTTCTTACTTTCAACAAACTTACCAAATTGTCCCAATTTTTTCCGTAAATAACATTTCATCTATATTTATTCTACTGACTAGTTAACTAAGCTCTTTTCTGTCCATTATAGGATAAAGACAAAAAAAGCATTAAGATTCAAGCCTATAGCTTTTCAGAAATATTTTATATTTTAACAAACTGTTGTTCTTTTCAATCTGACCTCATGATCTTATGGGCATTAAAATAAATATGATTGAAAACATTTTGTTGCATCTTGCTTGGAAATGCCAAGTCCCATCAAGTCCAAAGCAAGTTGGTGGGTAAGGAATGCAATTCACATAGTATGGAAACTGGTGTATGTGCACTGTACACACAATTTGGAAAATTATAATTCTGCTATATCCATTATCTCTGACTCTCTCCCTCTCTCTAAAAATATTGCTTTTTTGCAGCTTATATGAATACATACTTGGATGTATAGTTGTCATTTTTCCAAACAAGCATAAGGAACTAGTTTCTTGCATAAATCAGCACCAATTGCATAAGTCTTTTTGGACAGTCTTTTCAGGGTCAAAAATACTCGTTGGATGATGGAATAGTGTCAAAAATAAAAGAAGAAATAAATAAGTTTGGTTATTTTAAAAAAGAGTTTGGGAACAACTTGGAAAATGCTTTTTCTCCTAGGTTAGAAGCATTTGTGTTTTGTTTCAATTGCTCTGTTTTTGCCATTCTTGCATTGTCCTCACTGTCCATTCTCTTTTCTTTCCAAAGGTTATGTTGCAATGGGAGCTGTCCTGCCTTCCTTCTGGGGACAGCAACCACTTGTTCAACAACAACTGGCCATGGGTGCTCAGCCTCCAGTTGCTCAGGTGATGCAAGGAGGACAGTCAATTGCATGGGGACAACCTGGGATGTTTCCTCCCACCCAGCAACCATGGCCATCTGTAGCTGGTCAGTTTCAGCCTGCTGCCTTCATGCCAACACAAACTGTTTTGCCTTTACAAGCAGCCATGTTTCAAGGTACCATTGTTCCCACTGCTACTGTTCCACCTACCAGTGATTCCACTAGATCAAGTCCACAGACAGATAGCCCAAGGCAGCAAGCTGGAAAAGAAATGTTTAAAGATTTCCAGATGGCTCAGGCACCTCCAGTACCATCACGAAAACCAGATCAGCCTTCCCTCAGTTGTACCTCAGAGGCCTTCTCCAGTTACTTTAACAAAGTTGGAATGGCACAGGAAGCAGATGATTGTGATGACTTTGATATTTCTCAGTTAAATCTGACTCCTGTGACGTCTACAACACCATCAACAAATTCACGTGAGTATCTCAGTGTTTGTGCTCTAGCCTTGTTTCTCTTTTTTTCTGAGCCATATGCATTCTGTTTGAAAGTGGGAAAACATGAACTTCAAATAATCACATCAGATTTATGGAAATCTGTACATTCTGCTTTCATGAATTTCACTTTGAATAACAATGTAATGCTATCTTAAAGAGGCTAAGAACCAGAACTAGATTTGTATTCAGTAGCAATTCAATACTTTTTTTTTCTTCCAATAGTAGCTATCCTTGATGTAGTGATAACTTGCCAGTTTTGAATTCGGAATCTCCAGCCTTACTTGATTAATGTGATAACATTATTGTAAAAACTTTTTATGTGAATCAATCCATGTACAATGAACTGCAGGTGAAAAAAATGATATCCATACTATGGTATACTTTGAACTTCTCATGCAACAGTTGCCTATGAAAATAGTCAAAAGCAATATTGTTGATTTTAGATTTGATTTCTTTCAAAATATTATTTAGTTATTTCAAATACTCATATGGCTGTCCATTATAACTGTGTGGCTTCCAATCACTAATTAAAACAATATCAATATTAAAACCATAAATATTAAACACCTAGGCCAAAGTTAGGTTTCTAACCCACAGTCCTTCATAAAATCCTCTCACCTATCTCAAAGTACCTCAATGCTGGGGGAAAATCTGAGTTTCCAATGCTTTTTGAAAGGTTGAGAGGATACCCCAGGGTAAACAATGTTCCATAGTGCAGGTATGGAAAAGCAGGCTTCCTAGCTCTCATAAGAGGGCAATGTTTAAGGGAAGGGACTAGGAGTGTGCCCATACTATCTAATATGATACGATGAGTAGATGTCCTTAGGGAGAGGTAATCCAGCAAAAAAATCTGACCTTGGACTTTAAAGATGAACAGTTTTTTTCCCAGAAGAAGACTGATAGCCGGTGCAGTTCGCACAACAATGGTGTTACATGGGTAAATCTAGGGTAACTCATCACTGTGTCTGCTGCTCCATTCCGGACTGGTTGTAGCTTCCAAGTGGCCTTCAAAGATAGCCACATGTAGAGTGCGTTGAAATAATCCAAATGGAAATTGAGTAAGGCAGGAAAGCCCATGAGCAAAGACTCAAAGTCTAGGAAAGGGTATAATTAGAACACCAGACAAATCTATGCAAAGATTCCCCGAGCCACATCTGCATAAGCAGGAATCATGAATCTAGGAGTGCCTCCAAACTGCACATCAACTCAGTCCAGGAAAATGCCATTCCATCCAGTGTTGAAGATGAAATATGAACTGGGCCTGGGGTACATAAACCCAGAGCTACTCCATCTTGCCAGGATTCATTGAAACTAGTTCCTTCTCCATGTAGACCCTTACAGCCTCCAGGCACTCAGCCAGAACTGTGTCATCTGTCTGACTAGAGATAGAGATGTATAATTGCATATTATTACCTTAATTATAGAGGTATCTCAATCAGCGTTGGCATTAGTAACAACAGCAGTAATTTTGAAGACGTGTAGAAGATTGTAAGTGCTAAAATAATATATATTGTACTTTTTAAACATGTTAGAATCAAACTGGGTGTGCAGAAACCTGGTATGCTTCCCTCTCTCCCCCCCAGTTATATATTGCCAGTTCTTTATCCATGGACTTGTCAAATGACAGGTGAAACATGTATGATTTTTGTTGAAGCAATAAAATTAAAGTCACATTTTAAATCCTATTTGTTTTAAAGGAGTGGTCTCTAAGCACTTTATTAAGGAGAATCTTAACCTTTAATTAAGCCAACTTGTCATAGCCACATATGTTTCATCACACCATATCACCAAGTTCATAGATCACTCTATTTTTCTCACAGCAGTTCAAAAGGTTACCAAATGACATTTAAAATCCACAGCACTAATTTTTGTTATTTATTTGTTTGATTGATTGGTTTTGTTAGCCCCAACTCCTGCTCCTAGACAGAGTTCTCCATCTAAATCCTCGGCATCTCATACCAGTGACGCTGCTGCAGATGACCTCTTTGAAGAGGGCTTCGAAAGCCCAAGCAAAAGTGAAGAGCAAGAAGCAGTAAGTAACCCAGTTCTCATTTATTAATATATTCACTCATTTATTTTGGCTGAACCGTTAACATAATCCATAGATTTTTACCTTTAAATTTTAAGAGAAATATGCATGTTTAAATTTAGAGAAATTGTTTAACCTTCCCACTTCCTTTCCTTCTTCTCCAACTGCCACTTAAAGTTCTTTTACGCTTCTCTTGGTTATTCACCACTAATAACACTTGTGGAGTATGATGTACAGCTTTCTGATCAGCCCTGATGTTTACTAATAAAGACAGTGGTGTGCATACTACAGAAGAGTTAAACCTGAAGGCAATTCACCATAGCTTGACATTTACATCTACAAAATTTCAATTTATGCAGTTATTGGGGTGTTTCTTCTATTTATTAGTTTCTACTAAACTGGACCTTCTTGGTTCAGTTCTCTTGCTACCTCTTAAAAGAGATAAGGTTCAAGAAGTATAGAAAGAGGGTAACATGAAAGGATATAGAGTCCCTTTAAATTTATGGTTCCTAGCTGGTAAAGACAAAAAGATATATAGTGCTACCTCAGTACTCATCATTAATTGGTTCTAGGGGGCATGCCAAGTATTAAAAACAAGTACCAAACGAATCATGTGACTTACCACATGTCCTTTTTTTTCCAACCAGGAAGGAATTCCTGTCTGTCCCTTTTCCTATGCCGGTGACCTTCCAGCATATCCATCCTCTGCGGCCATCCCCTGCATGCTTTCTTTATCAACAACCTTCCTAGCATAGCTGACTTCTTATCCATTGTCCGTGGCCATCTGCCTCTTCCTATCATATTGTACCAAACAAACGATGAATACTGGGACAACATTTTTACATCAAAATGCAGTATCAAATTCAATTGGTTTTGAAGCAGTCTAGTACTGAGATACCACTGTAAGGACAAAATAGGTATAGGTAACTTTAGAATCATGCAAAACATTGTACTCTTACCAGTTAAAAGTATGGCAACATTTTAAGTTCATTCTTGTCTAAGTTGGGCTATGAGATCTGGCTTGCATAAATCTGGGTGACCAAATCTGGAAGGCCACTGGTTGGCAGCAAAAATCAAATATCTTTTCTATTATCAAATGGTTGTCATTTTTTTGTGTCTTCCTTTGTTCTGCAATCCGGATTATCTGTCAGCTCTATCTATTGAGCTAAACTGAAAATCTGCACCAGTACCTAGACCTTATCACATTTTTCTTATAAATAGAAAAATAAGTAGGATTTGAATGCAAAATGAAGTATTTCAATTGCACAGAGAAAGTTTTGGGTGACCTGTGTACGGCTTAATATTCTCTTAATACATCTCTTAATACTCCTTCTTCTGTGCTTGAAGAAGTAAAGGGATTTTTTGGAAGTCATACGTAATTTGCATTCAATAAGAATGTATTAAAAGTTGAAAAGGATCATGCTTAGGAAAAGGGGGTTCATATAATTACGGATCAACTTAATTGTACATCCTAAAATGGTTCAAAAAATTGGAAGAGGATTTTAATATATATATGTATAATTGGTTCTATATATATAATTGGTTCTATATAATGTTTATATAAAATAATATAATAAACCAGAATAACAAAGCAACAAAGTGACTCTGTTCAAAAATCTACTTCTTTAAAGAAATGTTTTTATGTCCACAAATTAAATTTCCACTAAAAGCCGTCTGCCTTGAATTGTTTTAAATCACAATATTTACAATGCTTGTATTATCCACAAACATGGACTGAACTAAAACATTACTTGCAAATTAATTTTATATTCAGGATGGCAGTTTCTCTTCTTTCTTTTTTCTTTTTTTTTTGAAGTATCTTATTTTTAAACAACTTTTTTTTTAAATTCCCACAGACTTTCTACGTTTCAGAGCAGGGGAGGATTTCCCTGGGGAACTTTTGATCATGATTTTGATTCTCGGGGGCTGTGATAGGTTTCTCCTGTGCATTCCTGAAAATAGTGCACATTTTCCTAGCAATATGATCATGAGGACTGAATAATCCCATAAAATCAGGGTCATGGGTATTCAATTCATTTCGGCTTTTCATCCACAGTGGGTAACTTTGACGAAATGCATTGATGGCATGAAAATAACCTCTGATGTTTTCCTTTCTGCTGTTGAAAAAAAAAGGTGTTATGTTCTTATATTCTAGCCTGATGGATCTCAGGCCTCATCCAACAGTGATCCATTTGGTGAACCTATTGGTGATACTGTAAGTCCACAGGGCGATAGCTAGATAGCGCAGGTTGGGGTAGGTATCTGTCCTTCTCTCTGTCTCTTTCATTCGCTTACTTTTCAGCCATTCCCTTTCACTATTGCCTGTCTTCATTTTCTTGGATGCTGTATGTGCAGAATTTCATTTTTTTTCCCACCTCACTACTTTTCACACCATAATTCCATTTGCAGGTAATGTCAAAATATTGGCTTTTGAAATTACAGTATAATAGAAAGGGAAACATGTACTAAAGTGAAACTGGAGATTGTGACCATTAACCAGGGAAGAAATCATGCATTTGTTATTGTCAATCTCCAATTTCTGGTATTCATGATGAGTTATAAATATTCTATACGATTATCAATAATCTCTTGAAAAATTTACTAACAGTTTGATTCAAATTGTTATTGATATACAGGTTGTTAATTGATGCAGAGTCATGCTATCATTCCCAACTATTGTTTAGTTATACATTTTCCATTATCAAATTTAAGGTGATGTGTTGTTGAAATCATTAACAGCTCACTTTGCATGCTGATAGACCTTTTTAAGCTGATTGTGGCTAATTTTATACTTGCATGTGTTTTGTTTGAATGACTGTAAAGGTGAAGTGCTTGTGAGTGCTAAACATACCCATATAATTTCAGTTCTACTATTTCTATATTAAATATATTCACCATGTATGAAATATATATATATATATATATATGTATATGTGTGTATATATATATATAGATATAT